CCGCTGAAAAAAAGTACAGGAGTCACTTGGCAATTCTAAAAATAAACGAAAAAATAATGTAAACAAAATGAGATGCAATTATGAGACTTTGTCACACAGGAGAAAGCCAGGATCGTGGTCAATGGGCATAGTTTCTCAAGGGAGTTGGTGGCAGTCTCGAGGGAGTTGGTGGCAGTCTCGAGGGAGTTGGTGGCAGTCTCGAGGGAGTTGGTGGCAGCCTCCAGGGAATGGCTGGCAGCCTCCAGGGAATGGCTGGCAGCCTCCAGGGAATGGCTGGCAGCCTCCAGGGAATGGCTGGCAGCCTCCAGGGAATGGCTGGCAGCCTCCAGGGAATGGCTGGCAGCCTCCAGGGAATGGCTGGCAGCCTCAAGGGAATGGCATTAACAACCAGGAAATTAACAGGCAAAATCTAAAAAGAATTTGTGAATATACATTAAATGGACAGCAAAATTCACAGTGTGTATGGCAAAATCAAAGGAGTTATGATCAAGGAACTCGGTGGCAAAATCCAAATAGAGAGCATCATCAGGAAAACAGGTGGGTAAATCCAAAGAATAGAGAGAATAATCCAGGAAATGCTGCATTAAAATCATTCCATAGGTTTCCCAAGAGTAGCACATACAATCTAGGAAATGCTAGATCCAATTATCTTAGCAGTTCACCAAAAGAGACTGATAATGCCATAAAGGAGATTTGCACTTCCTTCCAAAGAGTAAAGGAAACTTACACAAAGCTTGCAAGAAATTTCAGTGACAACCATCACAGTAAACAGAACCCTATTGATGAAATGAAAACACAGGACCACCTTGATGAAATGAAGAGAGAGACTGAAATGCCAAAACAGGAAATTGATGAAGCTGAATGCAGTACATCAGCTGAGTGTATTGATGTTGAGCATAGTGGTGACGAAGACATGGCAGCTGACACACGGCATGAATCAAGTGAAAAACTTAAAGTAGAAAGAGATGAAAGTATTAGAGAGACTGGAATCTTAATAAAAATTAATGAGGATGGAGAGTGTGATGAAAATGCCAAACATACCGACAGCCCTGGTGCTGAGGATGTTAGAGCGAGTCATAATATAGTAAAAGAAATCAATGACTCTAGCTTACATGGTAGAAATGTAAAAGATAGAGGGATTTTAGAAGATAAAGGTAAAGATAATTCCTTTAAGGACATTGTTGTCAATGATGATACAAATGAAGAGATTAAAATTACATGGGAGAAAAGTAAATCTAGCCCTGTAGCTATTCCAGTAATTGATCTTACTGAACTATAGAATACAAATACTTATCTAAACCAGTGCCATTATTTTGAACATTGTGAAATTTCTTTAGATAAATGCTGCAGTAATAAGTAAGTTTTCTTGAAGAGGCCACAATGCCAACAGAGAAACTTTAAAGTGGTTACGGGTAGGTGACAGCTACACACCTTAATGTTTCTGTATCTTTAAAGATGTACTTCATTGTGGATTTTATATACTGTAAATGATCATTGGCTTAGATTGTGGGTTAAATCTGTTGTACAGCAATTATTAATTACAATTTTGTCAAGTGCTAAACCTGTAAGGGTCATAAAATGTAGAGAATGGGATGCAATTGGATTTGATCAGAGGTAAGGGAGGGTTGCTCCACTTTGTTAGATCAAGAGCCCTTCATTGGCATCAAGCATCCTCCTAGACTGCAGGTGCTGAATGACCCATACAGGTTTATTGTTTCTCCTTGAAATTAATAATAATGTAATAATAGTTACTGTACATGGTAAAATTATTTTAATGGTGAAACCCTAAAACCATAGTGGTTATACAGTACCTGGAAGGGAGGTTGGGGGGTTGGAATGAGAGGCACTCAGATTACATTCAAGGTTTGGTTCTTGGATCAAGAGCCCTCACCAGTATCAGTGGTTGAAGAAAGCAGTGCTGACAAAATTTGTCTATTTGTCTGCTTCTTTTAAGCCTTTCAAGGCTAATCATTATCTAAAATGTATGTGTATGATGTTTCCATTCAGCATATATATTATGCAGTACAACAAAACAATAATGCATATGAATCTCATTGTATAATTGCAATACTGTTAATGAGATATGCTAGTGACATGGTATCCACTGTGTATTAATTCTGTTCTTTATTTATGTTTGGGGTAACATCCCAGGTTAGAACTCAAATTATTTCCTTCAGTCAGATTCTCATTTATCATCAAAGCTTGTGCTGCAATTTCAGCCCATATTGGAGCTAATGAATCAGATTCTCACTCGGCTTCCTTCGGACATTATCATTAGCCATCATCTTTGTTGGTATTTATATGCAATATTAGAGGAGGTTGTGTGGAGATGAGGCATCTTTACACTCCCTTCCCAAAACAAAAACATCTTTAATTAGCTGTTCCATAACTAGAAATAATGTAAGATTGAAGGGCATTAACAGTCCAAGGGTTGCCTGGTTGTGCAGAATTTTATGTACATGTATGAATTTTTGTTTAGAATTTTCACACTGCAAGTGATGATTTCTTGAATGATGTTGCACCTACCATAGATGATTTGTGACAGAATTTGGATCTTTTTTTTTTTTTTATACTTGTATACTTGGGCAAACCAGGAAAGGATATTGTACTTTCAATACTGAAGTACATTAGTAATACATATTTGTTACTTTTCTAAACACTACTCCCAAATTGGAAAATAATTGGTTTATAGTTTTCAAAACAAGTTTTTTTTTTTTTTTTTTTTCTCTCCAAAGATTTTTTTTTTTTTTTCACGTTGATAAATAATTGAAACTGATTTTTTTCAAAGCATGATGATTTTATTTTTCCTGCAGGTTTACCACTTAGTTTATTTTTTCTCTTTAGGTATGCGATCTCATTTCCAATAAGATATTTAGTACTGTACTATAATTTAAAAATCTTTGCTCACATTAGTATATATGCAATAGTATATACACACCATTATTAGTATTTTATTAATTATAAATTATTTTCAAAATGGCATCAAATATATTCAACATTTTTTGACATATGGTATAGTATTTGCCACTGTTAGGCACTTTTATTGTCAGTTTTGTACTAACCACTTTATACACATTTGATAATAAAATTAAAAACAATATATTGACTATTTATTATACATTATTAAACTAGAGAATTTACTCACATTAATCATTAACAAAATATATATGAATGTGCAATAGAATTTGATATGACTCACACCAAGCGACCCATGTACTTTGATCTAGGATATTTCTCCTTCAGCTGTGGCCATTGAACAATGAAGTCATCTACTATTCTGTATAACAAGCTTCCTGATAGAGAAGAGGAGTGCACACGACACAGGCTTTCAATAAATACTACACGTGACTGGCAAATACCAAGTACACGAAACAGCAATGCTGAATAGCAAACTGGTACACATGTTCCTGGCCCATTGGTAAGGATCAGTGATGGACGATGGCGGGCAACAACGGAAATGCAAAAAATTAGAGCACATAATGCAGTGTATGCCGTGGAGACCCATGGCTGCCCAACTTCTCGTGTCCGGGGCACAACCTCTACTACGAACTGATCGCCACTTCCATTGGTTACCTTTTAAAGAATTAAGATTATTAGAATTAAAATGTTTTGAAAATTATTAAAAATTTGCACTTATTCACACTCAAAAACTTTCCCCCCAAAAATGTCATTTTGCGTTCCCTGGGGAAATAGTGGTACCTTGACTTAAAAGTTTAATTCGTTCCATGACTGAGCTCTTGACTCGGTCTGCTTGTATATCAGATCAATTTACCTCGTTGAAATTAATTGAAATGCCATTAATCCGTTCCAACCCCCAAAAAACCACCCCAATTTTTTTGTTACGGGTTTTTAAATAAGAAAAGTGTATTTATAAATAAATATTGTGTACTCTGCCCACTACCCTCATTACTCCACCCACCTTAGTGTTTCTGGAAAAACACGCTCCCCTGTTGCCGCCACAATTCCTAACATGCCAGAAACGGACCTCTCTGGAACACGTTTTTTAGTGACGGGTCCAGTGACTCTCAAACTGGTCCTAGTGGCATTAAAAAATGAAGTAACCCCAGAAAAGGATTTGGTACCTGAAGTCTTTATGGAAGGGGATTCCCCTTCCAAACAGTAATTTCTCCATCCTCTCCCCTCCTCCTGTCTTCAATACACTAAGAAGAGTCTTCAATAAAGGTAAGTGTCATGTTATTGTTTTAATTCATGTCTTTGTTTTCTGTGTAAATAAATGTATATTTCATGTAAATAATTATTTTTTCTTAATACTTTTGGGTGTCTGGAACGGATTACAGTAATTGGATTTACGTTATTTCTTGTGAGGAAAATGAATTCGAAAATCGTCAAATTCGGCTTTAGTCACACTCTCTGGAACGGATTAATTATGATAACTGAGGGTCCACTGTATTACCTTAATGCATGTCTAAACCATCTTTAAAAATATATTTACCATTCTACACATATACAGCCTCTCGTCACTTTGTGACTTACTCATTTGCTCCGACTTACGATGGGCTCTCTGGCCAGTATGCATACTTAATAATGTATATTAAGAGCTGATTTCCTCTATTCTGTTTATTACAGTATGCAGTACACTACTGTATAAACATTTAAAAATGTTATAAATTGTGCAAAGAGGCTCTTGGTCTGAGGAATTAGACCTTTTGATCTCCTTCCTCAGACCGAACCTAATTAGCCCCCAATCCCCCCTTTCCCTATCCCATCCCCTTTCCCTATCCCATCCCCTTTCCCTATCCCATCTCCCCCTTTTTTCCCTTCCCTATCCCATCTCCCCCTTTTTCCCTTCCCTATCCCATCTCCCCCTTTTTCCCTTCCCTATCCCATCCCCCTCCATTTTACCACCTTTCTATGTTCATGTAGCATCTAACTTTTCCCTACCCCCTTGGAAAGCTCCGACGGTTCATGTCTGTTCTTTCCCACTGCCATGTGCGAAAGCTCAACTGCCTATGGTGGCTTCTCGCTCTTTTTCTTAACCACTTCTGATCTCGCTCTCATGCCATCGCAGTGTACACCGATGGTTCCAAGTCTTCTGGCGGTGTCGGATTTGCAGCAGTGGTTCCGGACAGTGCCGTGCGAGGGCAGTTATTATCCTCGGCTAGCATTTTTACGGCTGAATTGTATGCCATTCTTGTAGCACTTATCCATATTGCATCTATGCCTCTTTTGCCATTTGTGCTCATCTCAGACTCCTTTAGTGCTTTACAGGCTATACGTAAATTTGACACACCTCGCCCCCTAGTTATTTGTATCCCACTTTGGTTATGCTGCATCTCTACCAATTGCAAAGATATTGTTTTTTGTTGGGTCCCTGGTCATGTTGACGTACAGGGCAATGGACAGGCAGACACTGCTGCGTGGTCAGCAGTACATGACCTCCCAGTTTCATATAGAGGTGTTCCATTCACGGACTATTTTGCTGTAATTGCTACCCACCTTTGCACCCGTTAGCAGCAACGTTGCTCTGATCTGCTCCATAACACTGTTCTATTAAACTGAGTACAGTATAGGCTTCTGGCTGTCTTCTTGTCATTGTTGTCAAGGTTGGGAGACTACTCTCTAATCTTCGCATCTGCCACACTCGACTTACTCACGGGTATCTCGTGGAGAGGTGCCCTGTTCCCCTCTGAGAATCATCAGGTTCCAGCATCTGTTAGCCACATTCTGTTGGATTGCCCACTCTTTCAATGAGCACGCAGAATCTACCTCTGTCATCTCTGCTGCCCTTTCTTTACCTTCCCTTCTTGCTGATGGACCCTCCTTTAATCCACTCTCTCTCATTGACTTTTTGACAGCAACTGCTGTATAGCCCTTGTGGCTTAGTGCTTCTTTTTGATTATAATAATAATTGACAGCAACTGATTTACTACACAAACTCTGATGATGCCTCTACCACTCCCCTCAGTCCTTACTACCTCAACCTCTTTCTACCCTCTACCCCAGCACTATCCACTGCCTCACTGTACTCCATAACTTGCTAAACATTCCTCTCCCTCTTGCTGCCCAATACCCTTGCATCCTTCCCTGCCCTGCTGCACTGTATAACCTTAGTGGTTTAGTGTTTCTTTTTTGAATATAATGTCAAGGTTGGAAGACTACGTTCTCTCGTCTTTGCATCGGCCACACTTGTCTTGCTCACGGGTGTCTCGTGGAGAGGCGCCCTGTTGCACTCTGAGAGAATTGTCAGGTATGTTTCTGTTAGCCATATTCTGCTGGACTGCCCATTCTATCAACAAGCAGGCAGAATTTACCTCCGTCGTCACCACCGCTCTGCTGCCCTTACTTTACCTTCCCTACTTGCTGATGAACCCTCCTTTAACCCAGACTCTAGTTGACTTTTTTGACAGCAAATGATTTACTGCACAAACTTTGATGCCTCTAGCACTCCTCACAGCCCTTTCTACCTCCTGCTACACTCTACCCCTGCACTATCCCTTGCCCTACTGCACTGCCTGACCTAATATTAATCCCTCTCTTATGGTACCCAATACCCCTGCACCGTTCCCTGCCCTGGTGCGCTGCATAACCCTTGTAGGTTTAGCACTTCTTTTTGATTATAATAATTCTTTGAATGTCTCAAATTTTACCTTGAGTTTTTCCTCTGTTTGTGAAAGTCTCTTTAGACTGATAGTGTCTGTAGCAGCCACAACATAAACTCTTGGGCTGTAGCAAAATGGATCCAGTGTGGCAACCATCTTGAGCATTTCTCCAGTGTGACCACCTGAGCCAAGGACGATAAGTGTCTTCACAGTTTTCTTGGCAACCATAAGTGGTATGTGGCTGCAGCAGTTGATCACGTACAGTATGTATGCTACACGTACTAGCAATGCCATGCACCCAGTTATGATAAGCAGGGCCAACATTGTAAATTCCCATTGATCTGAAATGTCAAATGATTAAACAGGATAAAATTGCAAGTCCTTATGTGATGGTAAATGATCAGCTTGATATAGCATAATACTAGTGCAGAAGTCCTGACAAGACAGGCATAGTAATTGACTGTATTGTACTTTTACAGTACATAAAGGTACACTGAGGGTAGTTCTCAGTGAGAGGACAACAGAGCGAGGCTGTTGAAGTGCTAATGAATTAAATACAGGCACTTTGATAAGCAGAACAATCAAAAGCTATATAGAAACTGCCAAATAAGGTACTTGAAGCAACCCAAAAAGAATATTTTTTCTCGAATAATAGAGCTGAAACAACCTATCTAATAATTTATCTGCACCTTTTTAATAAAAAGGTCCAGAAGCCACTCTAATTTTCATTTTGGCATGCAGTAGCTGTATGACCCATGTGGGTTTAGTGCTTACTTTTGATTGTAATACTAATAATAAGCATGCAGAAAATCAAGGAACTGTAGCTCAACCTTCTCGACTAGTCATGAAACAGTCACTAGTGAGCCTATGAGAGGTGTACAATGTTAGGTAAGTTAAGGAAAATCTTGCTCGCCTGTAGGTGAAGCATTTTCTTTGGCAATGCCAGGTAACTATTGTGTGTTTTATAAATTTGTTGCTATTATGCGCCTTGTCCTCTTCAAGGGGGGGCTCCTTGGCATGGTGAAGAGGCTCTTGGTCTGAGGAATTAAACCTGTCGGTCGGTCTTCCTCAGATCGAACCTAATTACCCCCCAATCCCCCCTTCCCTATCCCATCCTCCCCTTTTTCCTTTCCTCCTCCTCCCCACCCCTCCCTTTTGCCCTTCCTTTATTGGCCTTTGGGATTTTTCCCACAGGTGCGCTAGTTCCTAGGTAGGGGAAAGGGTACTGGGGTCCATCCCATTCTGTTGAGGTTCTTGGCGGTGGCATAGTTTGCCGTGGAATCTGGATCACCTGGGGATGTCCGATCCCTCTCGGATATCCCAGAGGGTGGCTTTGGGTGTCTTTCGGGCGACGGGTGTATCTGGAAGCCACCTTTCGGATTCCGGGGGTGGTGGCCGAAGGAGGTATGCTTTGTGGCGGATATCCGGCCGCCCTCTTTTGTCCACCGAGGTAGCTCGGCAGATGTGAGGTTGCTATCCCGGATTGCTGGTTTACTGGCATGAAGGGTAGGGTATGGCACGGGTTCCATGCTGCATCTGCGGTACTAGTGGTGCTGAGGTCCTTTTGGGCGCGGAGGGAGATTTCCGGCCCTTTCATTCCTCCTGGGAACTATTCCTCCCCGCTCCCCCCTTTTTTTCTTTTTTTTTTATTTTTATTTTCTTTTCTCCTTTTTTTTTTTTCTTAAAAAGAAAAAGCAAAGGAGTAACCTAACCATGGAGGACCCAGTCCATGAACCCACTACCCCCGGACCCCTTCTTGATACCGCACCCCATTCTGACCCTGCCTTGTTTTTTGACCACTCTTCGGACACTCCTGATGCCCCTGTACCTCTTGCTGGTGCTGTTTCCTCACCTGCTTCAGGTACCGGGGCTTCGATTGACTGCTTCGATTTGTCTGACCTCCGCTCTCCTTTGACTATGCTTCCGGCCTCTCCCTCTACGGTATGGCAATTTTCGAATCGCCAGCTCGTTTCACGACAGATCAACTCCGGTCCTACTCCTAAACGCCAACGACAATCTCCTGATGATGATCCTTCGTTACCTTCCCATTCTACTCGGAAAAGACCGACACGTCATGCACTCCCTCTCCACGCTCAGTTTCGGACCACACAATGGACTAAATTCTTTACTTTAAGATCGACTTCTTCTGCCTATCTTTCTAGAAGACCATAGTACAGTGGACCCTCGCATAACGTTGGCATCACATAATGTTAAATTCGCATAACGATACTTTTAATGCTAACATTTTCCCTCGGATAACGTTAAAAAACTCGCTTAACGATATTCGTTCTCGGGTACCAATTAATATCGTTATGCGAGGGTCCACTGTACTGGCAAAGCACTCCTGCGCCACGTTGGTAGAGATATTTCATTTCATGCTCTCAAGAGCGGTACGCTCATCATCACTGTCCAGAATGCTATCCAAGCTCATGATCTCTCTCTCCTTTCGTATATCGATACTACTCCTATCACTATTGAAAAACATCTTTCTCTCAATTCTTGTAGTGGTACTGTCATTCTGCCCCATACCATAGTCCACACAGAATTTCCAGTCATGTGGCAATGACATTCTTGAACAGCTGGAACTCCAGGATCTCCCAATCCTCAAAGTAGACACTTATGTCCTTCCTGCCCGCGGGCGGAGACGTTACCCTTGCAATGTGGCTCAATTAACTTTCGACAGCCGTGAACTCCCGTCCTCTGTTTATGTCGCGGGACATCGGTTACAAGTTCGAAAGGTGATCCCTGCACCGCAACAGTGCAGAAATTGCTGGCGTTTTGGTCACCCAGCAAAATATTGCAGATCTATAGCCGAATGCCCAGTCTGTGGTGCCGACGACCATTCTAATACATCTTGCAGTCAACCTCCATCTTGCCTTAATTGTAACGAGGCTCCTTCGTACTCTCACTGTTGCCAGGTGTACTTAAATGAGCGTGAGATCTGTTGCCTCAAAGAGGCAGGTCTCCCTTATGCTATGGCAGTTACTCATCTCCGCCTCCAAGGGAGACTACCCCGTGTTTCTTATTCTCGTGTTTATGCCTTGGTGCTTTTCGCTCTTCCCCTGTTGAGAGCCTCTATGCAGAAGCGAACGTTCCATCCTTATCCGATCGCCGTGATGCCCACTGCCTTCGCTACTATGTACGCTCTCATGATCTCCGCAATCCTTCCATTTATAGAATGGTCACTGATATTAGTAGACATTGTTTGTTCGCCGCCCGTGTTTACTCCATCCCTTCTCTCTTCGCCTTCATTCACTCTCGTCTTCTCTTCAATTACCACCTTTCTATGTTCATGTAGCATCTCACTTTTCCCTACCCCCCTGGGAAGTTCCAGCTGTTTGAGTCTGTTCTTTCTCTCTCCCTTGCTCGAAAGCCCAACTGTCTATGGTCGTTTCCCGCTCTTTTTCTTGACCACTTCCACTCTCATTCTCATGCCATTGCTGTGTACACAGATGGCTCTAAGTCTTCTGACGGCGTAGGATTCGCAGCAGTGTTTCCAGACAGCGCCGTACGAGGGCATTTACTATCTTTGGCTAGTATTTTTACTGCTGAATTGTATGCCATCCTTGCAGCACTTATCCGTATTGCATCTATGCCTGTGTCATCATTTGTGGTTGTCTCAGACTCCCTTAGCGCTTTACAGGCTATACAGAAATTTTATACACCTCACCCCTTAGTCCTCCGTATCCAACTTTGGCTGTGCCGCATCTTTACCAAGCATAAAGATATTGTTTTTTGTTGGGTCCCTGGTCATGTTGGCGTACAGGGCAATGAACAGGTAGAGACTGCTGTGCGGTCAGCAGTACATGACCTACCAGTTTCATGTAGAGGTATTCCATTTATGGACTATTTTGCTGCAATATCTTCCCACCTTCACACCCGTTGGCAACAACGTTGGTCTACTATGCTCTGTAACAAACTTCAATCTATTAAACCAAGCATAGGTTACTGGCCATCTTCTTATCACCAGTGTCGAGGTTGGGAGACTACTCTCTCCCGTCTTTGCGTTGGCCGTACTCGTCTTACTCGTGGATATCTCATGGAGAGGCGCCCTGCTCCTCTGTGAGAATTGCCAGGCTCCATTATCAGTCAGCCACATTCTGTTGGACTGCCCACTTTATCAACGAGCACGCAGAATTTACCTCCGTTGTCGTCTTCGCTCCGCTGCTCTCTCTTTACCTTCCCTTCTCGCTGATGGACCCACCTTTCATCCGGACTCTTTCATTGACTTTTTGACAACAACTGACTTACTTCACAAATTCTGATACCTTCAGCCCTTTCTACCTCAATCTCTTGCTACCCTCTACCCCCGTACTATCCCATGCCCCACCGTTTTCTGTAACCTACTGATCATCCCTCCTCCCTTCTGCCGCTCAATACCCTCACTTCCTTCCCTACCCTGCAGCGCTGTATAGCCCTTGTGGCTTAGCACTTCTTTTTGATTATAATAATAATAATATTCTCGTGTTTCAAAACGTCCCCCCCACTTCTGGGGTCCCATCTTCTGCAGCCTCCTTTGTTGTTACCCCTCCCATAGCCACTCCGGCATCTAATCCTTTTGCTGTCCTTGGCTTTGACGTCCCGACTACAACTGTCTGTTCTCACATCTTCGCGTCCTTCCTCACAATCCCCGGTATCGACAAGACCTCGTACGACACCTTATACCAATCGTCCCTCTACTTCTCAGAAGTCCAAAAAATCCCCATTGCTCAAATCTTCTTTGCCCCTTCCTTCCCTTCTTCCACCTCTGCATTTTACCTTTCCAGTCTCTGTGCCTAGTTCTTCCCCTCTCTCTGGCTCTATTACAAGTGTGGAGGTTCACCCTTCTCCTCGTACTATGCCTTCCACCCCCGTCCCCTCCCAAGTTTCTCCCTCTTCTGCCACCTCCCAGGTTTCTGCCTCTTCCATCTCCTCCCACACTTCTCCAGTCCCCTACACTCTTTCGTCCCCCTCTACTTTGGTACAGTCCATTACTGTCCCAATTTTTACTCACCCTCCTCCTCCTACCTCCAATATTGTCTCCCATACATCTTTGAATTCAGAAACACTTGAAGTCATTTCAGAATATATTGCAGAGACTAAACCTTCAATGGACACTGATCCACCACCTGTTCCTTCTCTTCCCTCTCCTCCATCTCCACAACGCCATTCTTTGCAACGCTCCATTCCTTCGCTGCTTGAACTTCTTCCAATGCCACCACACGTTGACTTTTCTAACCCCTCTAGTCCGTGAGTGCCCTTCCCTACGGATTCCTGGTATTTTCTTCATTGCCAATCATGGCCTATTTACAGTGGAATATCCGCGGCCTCAGGGGTAATCGGGGTGAGCTTCAGATTTTAC